GACAGCCTCAAAAAGACCGACAACACACCGTCAACTCACACTTTACGAGCCCACAGCGCAAAACTAACGTAGCTCCAGCTCGTCCGGCGAACTTGCGGGGGAACAATAAAGTGACAAGCGACAGCTAACAGTGGATGTTAAGCTAGCTGGTTGACATGTCTTTGCACTGTTAAGAGTCGCTCCTAGTGTTACCTTTTCATTCGGCGAGCATTGCTTCTGCCTTTCTCTCTAGCGACGGGAGGACGCGGACGAGGAGCACGTATCTGCAGCAGAAGTACGCCTAAAACAAAATGTTGCTCCAAAAAAAAAAAAAAAAGTTTGCAACTCCAGTGTTGCAAATGCACACTGACTGCACGCGTACCACTATTTGACAGGAAGTCGATTTCTGAGGGATGCGCAAGCGCTCCCGATAGCGCCGACTGCTGTGGCACGCTCGGCTCACTATTTGGCAAGTGGCAAGGTCCTGATGGTGTAGTGTCTGTTGAACAAAATTCGCATACCTGCTGGGCTTGTTACGATCCGGAGGCTCCATAGCGAAGCAGTGGCTTCTTGATCCTAGCCGTGCATGGGCTAAAGCATGTCTGAGCGATATCAGAGAGACTTTGCACCGGTAATTCTTTGCAAGAGAGACGGGGTTGTGTCTCTTTGGAGCACTTTCTATCCGCCGGCACAGTTGACTCTCGCTTGTGCGTATGCCGTCGCCATCTTTCCAACGTTCATTGAGGAGGAGTGCCACAGTCTTGCATTACTACGGCAACCCGGATAGGTCATGTACGGTCATAACGGTGCAGGGCCCAAATGTTTTGGGTTTTTTTTTTTGGGTGTTTTTTTTAATCCTCCAGAGGACAGTCAGAGTGAATCAGATATCATATGGTCGCCTCTTGACTGATGTGACGAATCGTCATACTTTTAATCACTTGTTCTATTAGTTGCAGTGGAACATTTAATCTGCTACAAATGACTGCTTTGGATCGTTTCGGTTAATTACTCATGACAACCTAGTTTGTAGTTGTCAGTGGGAGTGCAGGGGGACTCATTTTAGATTGCCCTTCACCATCAGAGAGTAATATAACAGCAAACAGCACTACAGTACTGAGGGGGCCCTGTGTGACATGATGTCAGGGGCCCAGCAACACTCTGTCTAGTGTGTGATGAATGAGGAGTGAATGTAACCAGTAGCCAATATACCAGATTAACAAGTATTCCTGGGCTTTAGCATTACATGAGTCATGGTTAATGATGTCTAATTAAACTCAAATTAATGTGAGCTGAAATAATGGCCTATACAGGGAGTAAAAAGGGCCCACCTTATGATATTGTGGGGGCCCCTGGTGGTCTTAGGCCTTGCTTTATTCAACCTTGCTGATGCTACGTGTACGTTACAACTTTACGTCATGACATAAATGTAAAAACCTAAACATCTGCAAGTTTAAACCAAAAAAAAGGCTTTAAAAAAGTGAATAAAGATATAATTAGAGTATACGTTTGATTAAACAGAGTTACTGTGTGATGTTGCATCAACCCCAAAATGGGTAGGGGGTTACGCATTATGCACAAGGGGGGGGGGCAATAGGTCAGATGCCACTTTCTACTCATCCCCTCACAAAAACATTGAGTCTAAACATCTATAGCAGTGTCTGATTAAATAATTACAACTGGTGTTATCCTGACAATATTAAGTGTTTGCCTTATACTCAAATGAATATAATCACCTATTCAAAGGTTTGTTTTAGTTTTCAAAAGGCAGGAGTTACAAAGACACAGTGCCCACTAAAGGTTAAATACATGTGTGATTTGAGAATAGGAAAAGTGCAATATCAATAAATACTATCACACATAAACTATAACTAAAATCTATTGGTCAAGCTTTCATTAACTGCAGACTGCGGGACTACAAGAGACATTATGTTCTCATTTCTTTGGGAACATTATTGTATTTTAGATGCAACCAACATGATTATACCAATTCTAGGGGGTTTCACTGAGAGCAATGCTCTCTTTTTCAGGAATACCCTGATCACTGATTGAGATGTTTTTATTCAATGAGTGATGTTATTAATATCACATATCTCAAATGAGACCCTGTACTCATAAAACTGAATTTGTTTGTGAGTAAAATAATGTATCACATAATAACAAAATTAGTTATAATAAACAAAATCGAACATTAGTCCAGCTGGCATCATTAAGAAACACTTTCACTTGTAATAGCACACATTTCTAAACAGATATTTGAAGTTTTATGACCTTTTACAATGTCATTTAACTCACCGACATTACAAAAATGACACATAACCACAAGAAAACCCTTACACATACATATTCAATAATAATAGGCTACATCTTCCCGTTTGCAGCTGGCCTCCTTAACAAGGCC